CCACATGGGCGTTGAAGTCCCCCAGGAGAATAACGGAGTCCCCGGGAGGTGCACCGTCCAGTACCCCTCCCAAGGACTCCAAGAAGGCAGGAACTCGGCACTGCCGTTAGGCCCGTAGGCCGTCACAACAATGGGAGACTTGTCCCACCCGGAGGCGGAGGGACGCGACCCTCTCATTCACCGGGGAGAACTCCAACACATGGCGGCTGAGATGGGGGGCAATGAGTATGGCCACCCCAGCTCGCCGCCTCTCCCCGTGGGAAACACCAGAAGATGACTGACAGGTATGAGATGATGATACAATCATCCCCATCTGAGAAGTCCTCTATCTCAGAGTTGTCTGCAATTGCCAACAGCAATTGTTCTGCTCTTGACAATGAAAGTGTGCCTGTAATGATAATGTTAAAAACCAACATCAAAATCTACAGTATATCAGTGACACTTCATAGCTTGGCTATCATGTGCTAGCTATAGCCTAGCTATATTGTTTATGATTTAGAATTTAGCAACACTAAACAATACTTAGCATATACCACTTAGTACTTAAATATACTATTTACAACTGTAAACCACATAACTAAGCAAATGTGTGATTCAAAATAACTATTTACAACTGTAACTTCATCTAAATCTTCCACACGGTTAGCTAAACAGATAGCGGTACATAGTCCTAGCGTCCTCAAACGAGTGCTTCACTTTTACTGACATCCTAGCCTGCTACTACAATCAAAATTTGTCAAATTTCAAACTCCATATGAAGCTAGAGACATTATTGTGCATAAAAAAATTGATTTCATTCATAAAATGTTGATAGAATTTTTACCTGGGGCATTTTTCTTCTGTAAACTCTTGTAGAAGTCTTTTGCTGATATTGCCACCATTTTTTTCCTACTGCCTTAAGTGTAATTCTATCATATCACCACAAGATGGCGCGGGCAGTGTCCCTAAATGTGGCCATCAGGTCAAGGATGTAAAAAATTTAGTATCATTGTGCCAAGAGGCAAAAATGTAATGTCCTCGTATGAGGTCGCAGGGTCTCAGGAGGTTAAAAATAAATTAACCAGGCAGAGACGTGTAGTTGCTCCAGTTCGTCCTTTACTTCTCTTCCAGCATTCAAAATCTCAACCGTCCGTATTACCTTGCACGTGAGCTCCCTCTGGTGGTTACATACAATATAGCAGGCAACACAACAGTATGTCCAGAAGTTGATGGTTCTATTTTATCAGTCGAGATGAGAGATTTTTGTTTTTATTATTGATATGAGGGATGCAATGCAGAGCCGACCCCCTCCTCACCAGCAGAGCGAGGCCGGAGGGGTGGAGCTGATCTGAGCCCGGAGGAGGAAGGTGCAGAGCGCAGTGAACCAGGCTCGTCTCGTGTCACAATATCCCAGGGGAGAAAGTAAACCTCATCTGAACTTCCAAAGCAAAGTAGTGAATAAGTTTTGCTTTCGAAAAGACAGAGTACTTTGGAGAGGCGAGGACGCATACACTGGTGAGTAGCTGCGTTTAAAGCACCATCTCTGTTCAGGAAACGTCCCTTGTGTTGAGACGGACTGTAACTAACTAGCGGTGAAGTTTATTTAGTGATATTAAATGAACAACGTGTTTCGAGGTGAACAAGTGCACACGTATCCTTTCATTTAATCTAATTTGACTAAGACTGAATTTGAGTCTTTTACAGTCACAGACAATGGGAGCTAAATTTCACAACACTGCCCTGAACCAGTCATGTAGCAACAACTATTGCACCCAATTTAGGTTCATGCTTGGTACAAAGTTGGTTTGTGTGTGTGAATGCAGTCACTTGATCTTCACAACCACATGAGGAACAGCTGAGCATCATTAGTTTTTTTATTTACTCTTAATTGATTATAAGTGATCATTTCTCAGCTTGGCAAAGATGTCTTAATTTTGTCCCAGACCCTGGTCGTGACTGCAGAAAAGACCCCATGATGAGGCCAAACTTTTAGCAGCCAGATAAACTACAGATATGGGTGGAGTGTTTTTTTGTGGGGCTATTTTTGTTCAGCATTAAACAACTCCATCCATTCATTTTTATGCTGCAACAAGGAATACGTGGATTGTGTTGGTAATCCGGATTTCAGAGGAACTCTTCTGGAAGCCTGGGTGGGTGTTCAGCTCTTGACAAATGATTTTTGTTTAGCAGAACTGGCAAACATTGGTCACTCCAGGTACCAGCCGATATGGAAACCTACTTTTAAATCCTGTCCTGGAAATAATCTCTTGTACTTTATAATTGTCACTTGTCTTTATTGAAGACATTACTACAATAATACAGTACTATCTCTGGCAATATTGTTGAGTACAATAGCTACGAATAATTGTTGTTTTAACCAATACTGTTTGTCATTTGGTCAAATAATCACAAGTGCATACATCCTGTATTTTATTGTTAGTGAGTTTTTAGGAATCATAAATGGATCCTTTTTGAAATGTTAAAACATGATTAAATCTTTCTCGCTGTGCTTGAAATAAGACTTAAGATTTGGTTTTTCAGATTGATAAATATGTTCTCCCTAAATGTGTCACTCAATGAGTTATTCTTTTTTATCCTATTTTAGATGGTTGTTTTTTCCAGGGAGCAAAAGGCAAACGTAATATGGCGGTCTCACTCACATATCAATCTTAAGCTGTTTTCCCCCACAGTCTTAGCACAACAGTGACCGTGTCATAGGCCTGATGCTCCAACAGTTACCTAGTAAATGGCCATAGTACATTTTGGCTTCAGGATTTTTGACAACTCTATGTTCATGAACGGCATCCGTAAACACTTTTAACAATGTTCCAGCTCGTTGGATGTAATTGAATGACACAGTTTGTTGAAGACGGCTGCTGGCCTCTCAGACCACGTCTAAAAGGAGTGGACTGTCCTCAAACACGACACACAAGGCGCTCTTGTCCCAGGGATGTGGGAAACGTGAGGCTTTACTTCAACATGTTGTTAAAAAAAAACTATGTTTCACTTGAACATAACTGAAGTTAATATTCACCCAGAATGATATAACTTAAATTAATATTTATATTTTTATAATATTAACGTCATACTTGTTATAATGCTTTTGGTGGAGAGAAATGAGGACATTGTTGCCTAAATACAAGTTATCTATCAGTACCATCAAAGTCACTTCCTCTTTTGATGGTGAAACAGACGTCTCTTGTCAAATGTTCACATTTGGCAGATTTAATCCTTTGCACATTATTGATTTTAAGATCAGTAGTGAACTCAACATTCATGCGGCTGGACTGTTGCATTCAAATGTGAAATGTTTGTGAATGTTTGTTTTAGAATGATTACTCTTCTGTGAGGCAGGAGTGCTTTATTTGTCAAACTGGTTAATTAAAAAATACTTCAGAAAGATATTCATTTATTGTATACCATTGAATTCATTAAAACAAATGTAAATACGTTGATCATAGATGGTTGGTAATAGGATTACAAGTTCACAGATCACAAACTTGCAGAAAACAACACGATAATCAAAAGGTTATGCTTTTAATGTGAAGACTTTTCCATATTAGGTTTGTGCATTTATCATGGTCTTGTGTTGTGACGTGTTAAGCCGAGATGAAGGGGCCAGTGGGGGCTGTTGAGAAAGAATGCAAGACTTACTGAATACTTTTGACACAAGTCATGTGAATCATTTATGATTTGATAAAACCCTTTTTAACAAAGAAAAGAAAAGTAATAATAATAAGTAAAAGAGCATGTATTTATCCCAATCTGATACTGAGAATCTGTTTTTACTGTGACAGGACCTAGTCCATCATTATCTACATTAACATCCAAATGAAAGGAAACAAAAACGTTTTCAGAGAGTTGCAACGCAATAATCTGTTTTATACTCATTCATGTGTGTAGAAATATGTGAGAAAAGAATGGCTTTGATGGTGCTCGTGGTAATGTGCTGTGCACTTCAGACAGAGTGCATCAGATTAGGTTTTTTTGAGTCTTTACCACTGCAAATACTCAAAACAATATATGTTGTGCATTTGCAGTGTAAAGACTCATATTTTGTATATCCATCCATCCATTTTCTTCCCCTTAATCCATTTCTGGGTCGGGGGGGTGGCAGTCAGAGCTGCACCCAGTACACAGAGCACCAGCCCCTCACTGATCCTCCTGCAGGTGGTGAGTCCACAGGAGCTGAGATCTTTCAGTGGGGGCTTTTGGCAAAGTAGGGTTAAGTGTCTTGCCCAAGGACACAACGACAGCAGTCATCAGTGGGAGTCGTGAAGTAGGTCTTATGGTGGGCTCGAACCCACGACCTTCAGGCCCAAAGGCCAATGCTCTACCAACTGAGCTACTGTTGCTATAGCTGCTATTTTGTGTATATATATATATATATATATATATATATATATACAAAATATTATACGTTTTATATTATTTTATGTTATCTTGTATGAATATTTAGGCCTTTACAAAACTTAAACCATATAAAGAAACACAGTGAAAATGTATTTATGTAAATGAAAAATATTGTGAGAGAACAAAAAAATAGTTTTGAATCGTCTCAATCGTGATGACTTTTCTGTTGATGATGATTGAAGTGTATCGTTATAGTCGACGCCTGCATTAAAGCTGGGGTGCTTTTGAAAAGTAATAGTTCCTCAATCTCAAAACTGTTTGGTCTATCACTATATTTCACTCACAGGTCATTTTCATCTCTGTCAAATCTTTAGATCAGTTTTTTTTCAGACAATTAAGACACAAACATGGCTCGTTCTTACAAGTATTGAAAATATTTTTTTTATCTATTAAGAAAAATACTTGTTGTGGCCTGATTTGTTCTTTATTTTACTTGTAGAGGCTCTTTCTTCTGTGTCAAACAGAAGATAAACCTGTATTATTAATGAAAGTGAAGTATGCCGTGCTGGATTAAAAAAAAGCTTTCAGAAGCATACACATGGATTTATCTTTTTGTCCCATATTGTGATTGTGTGTATTCTTAATGTTTCAGATAATTTGCTCTCACCATGTCTGATGGGGACTACGATTACCTCATCAAATTCCTGGCCCTCGGGGACTCTGGTGTAGGAAAGACCAGCTTCCTGTACCAGTACACAGACGGAAAATTCAACTCAAAGTTCATCACTACAGTGGGCATCGATTTTAGAGAAAAACGAGTGGTAGGTCATGATTGTTATTAGTTCAGATCTCTTGGAGTTGTGGAGTAACATCCTGTGAATGATGCAACCGGTATCTGCACTATGACTAATACTGCTGCCGCCCTCCTCTAGAGCAAACACTTTAACCATATGACCCATTATTTACACTATCATCCTTCACTTAAGCAGCCGTGCACATGTATCTTGGCTACTGCACAAAAATCACACTTCCATTTTAAACTGCTGGGAAGAGATGTGATGAGTTTGATAATGGGGTTGTGACAGTAATTTTTCACTTCTTCTACATTTCATTTTGCATTAAACATGTGAAGTTGGTGATTAGTGCTCTCACATCATGCCAGGGGATAGGGTCGTTTGGAGTGGATTTTGCATATTCTCCCCATGTCTGCATAGGTTTCCAGGTCAAATCTTCCAGGTCTGGTCCTGACCAAGCCGAGCATCAACATCTGGAGATGGGTCCTTGGGTGCTGTATTTTGGCGAACAGTGCCCCCGACAGAGGCCCAAGTGGCATTGCTGGATGGGTCAAGAGCAGAGGACAAAAATGTATACCGTGACCTTGTGAGAACTTTTTTTTTTAGCCTCAACAGTGCATTTTATGACCAGAGACTTACAGTCAGTCTCTGACATAGCTGTGTTGTTCCAAACACTTCAGATGTATATTTTTTTTATTTCTACATGAAATTATTATCAGTAATTGGTTAAATCCTGCTCCACCCAGACGCTACTCCATTTCTTCTTCTGTGAGCTGTCCTGCTCCACCCAGAGGCTACTCCATCTCCTCTGCTGTGACCTGAAGGGCTGTTGCTGATTATTACTATTATTAACTTTTTAGAATGATCAATTTTATTTTCTATTTTTGCTGCTACTGGACACCTGAATTTATCCTACAGGGATCAATAAAGTATCTATCTATCTAAATCCAGTATAATTCCCAAGGCTCACTCTTTTATTTTGTATTACCTTTTGTTTAACCAGGAATGTCCCGCTGAGGTTTTTTTGTCCTGGCCCCAGACAGGCTAGTTCTACCCAGCACACATCTATGGAATACATTTGATGCATTAAAAGTTTATTTATTATAATTTGTCCAGGTTTACAAATCCACCGGTGCTGATGGATTGACAAGTAAAGGGCAGAAGATCCACATGCAGCTGTGGGACACTGCGGGACAAGAGAGGTAAATGTGCTTCCCTTTCCAAAAGTCACTGCTACAACATTTGTTTTGTATATTTTTAGGTTTCGCAGTTTGACGACAGCTTTTTTCCGGGATGCGATGGGTTTCCTTCTCTTGTTCGACCTGACAAATGAACAAAGCTTCTTAAACGTCCGAAACTGGATGAGTATGTTGCCATTTATAATTCTTTTATTACAAATACTTCTACTACTAGACCTTGCAGACCCCAGACTCAACTATATGTACCAGCACAAATCATTCTCGTTTGTCATTCAGTGTGGTAATATGAATTATTTTCTTCAGGTCAGTTGCAAGTCCATGCTTACTGTGAAAACCCAGATATCGTGTTATGTGGAAACAAGTGTGATCTCTCTGACCTCAGAGCCGTCAGTGAAGATGAGGCTCGAGAATTGGCTGAGAAATATGGGTATGTCTAACCTTCATTCAACTATCCCACTTTCTAAAAGTTTGCTGAGGTCTCTGCAGATAATGTCAAGCCAAGTTGTTCCTCCTTGAAAGACAAATATTTGAATAAGATAGTGTATGCTCTTGCTCCCGCCCTGATAGTCACATTAGGATTATTTAAATTATATGGTTTTCCACAGAATCCCTTACTTTGAGACCAGTGCTGCCAGTGGTCATAACGTGAGCGAGTCAGTGGATGTTTTGTTGGATCTAATCATGAAGCGAATGGAGAGGTGTGTGGACAAGTCCTGGATCCCAGATGGTACGGTCCGAGCGAATGGAAACGCAAACGCAGACCTGTCAGAGAGTCCTGATAAAAGCAAATGCGCGTGTTAAAGAACTGTCTCCAACACCAGTTCATAAGGAAACATCCAAATTCAAAACTTCACCAAGATTGTTTTATGTGCATCAACAATTGAATGTATTTGTACAGGCAAAACCCATTCATGCCTAATGTTATAGGGGATTTTTATAATCGGTCACGTTGCATCTGTTGTAACGCGCTGTATTTTGGGGACTGGTGCATATTTATTTCATGTGAAGATGAAAACATTTGTGCCTTTGTAAACAAGATGCCTTCTTCTGATGCTTTATTAGATTTGTATATGTTTTTCTTCAAATTTTAATCCAACTGCAAATATTTTATGACTCAATATTTATACTTGACTTTTCAATGTTGAACAACCTTTTTCCTTATGCTGTAAACTGTAAAACCACTCTGTTTATGCCTTTGCACAAAATCAAAAATCACTCTTACTGTATCTCACTTTACGGAAAATGCCGATAACGCCTCTTCTGCTAAATATCTAGTATCAATTTAATGCATTTTTAAAATAAATGGTATTTTATGATAAATAATAAACATTCATATTAAACTAGTTTTAAATAAGAACTGAAATTTATATTAAATAGAAATATGAGAGGTTCAATTATGGGATGTGTGAATATTGTTTTGGCTGTAAATATCTCTGGTATATGTTGTTGAATGTATAGCTTAATTTAATCACTATCCACTTGAAGTAATGATAGAAATGTGCATCACATGATTTCTTTACTTACACTTTTCCACTTGACGCATAATTAATAAAAGAATATATTTGTTATTCTCAAGGACTTTCTTTTATGTATTCCCCTTAAAGGTTGTGGTATACCTAACTTTTTGTGTCATAAATATTTGTTCATACCAATGTCTCAAGAAAGAATTAGAAAACATGATCTTTTTTGTACTTGCAAGAAAGCCCTGTAAGTCACTGATTGATGCTTTGGGCTGAGTGAGGGAGGTCCTCTCTCTTTCACTCTGATGTAAAAAGATGGGACAAAAACTATTTCTACAACCATAATGTTTTAGTGCCAGGGAGGAATTAGTTGGATGGATTTTATTGCATAGCTCCATACACGTCTTTGAGTGTCCTAAAAAGTGCTATATAAAACCGATGCATGTTTAGCTAAATGATGGTGGTTTGAATGTTAGGTATTCCAGCTTGAATAAAAGGAAGTCAGTGTGGATGCAGTACTCGGTTCTTCCTGAGGGGGCGCTCATGGGTTATCCCCGGATAGAGAAGCAGCTCGACAACAACAAACTGAAGCTGAAGTGTGCCCAGTTAAGGGTAAACTGATGGAAACAGAGCGAAATGGAAAATCAGCAAGTATCTGCAAATGTTAAACTCATAAGGGGGTTATTTTTTGTTTTAATACCAGTTTTATACACACACAAAGCGATAATGCTAAATATGCTATGCTAACTTTCGTTCCAAAATACATGTAATTGCATTAAGCTAGAGTCCTCAGCTCACGCTTTTAAAACATGTCTCTGCTCACATTTAATAGAGTGTTCTGCTGGCCTTTCCGTAGACTATGACCGGTAAATGTGACTGGTGATTTAACTTGTCTCAAGTGAAGATGGAAGTTGTATACCCTGTATGTGTGAAAAATGAGCATTTAGGTTGACGCAAGAAAGTGGTCACAAACTATAACACATTTGTCTCCATGAAATTGTAGGGCAATTTGGTCATATTTTAAAGTAATTCTCAATTCATTTTTTAACATGTTTTTTGTTGTTAGCAGAATGGCTTTCCACTTCTGTCCTCAATGTGGGACAAAGCTGCTGCCAGATTTTAAGTTCTGTCCATCCTGTGGCGAGAAGCTGCCCTGTGCCAACCCTGATGGTCCAATAACCTCGAGTGTTGAACTTTTCACCACAAAAGAACATACAAGCCCGACTTCCAGTCCAATCTCTGAAGCAAAAACAGGTAACTATTAGGGCTGCACGATTTTGTCAACATTTGTGATGGAGATATTCCTGATCAACATTCCGAATCTGTACTTAAAGAAATCGAGCACAAAATATATGCAATGCATAAATAGCTGTTCAGAAAATGTCCAACATTGTCCGGTTTATTGGCCTGGGACAATCTAGATCAATTTATGGTTGAAACTATTTTTTGAGGAACTTTTGATTTGTATTAATGATAACATAATTGCTATTTTCATTGACATGATGCAGATGAAGTTAAAAAGTTACTTTTTTGGCTAAATATTTATTTACTTAGCTGTTTATACGTTTCTGTTTATGACTTTCATTGACAAATCTTTGTGCTGTTTTGGAATGGCAACAGTGGCACAAATTCGTATCAATATTACTTTTTATTGCAGTACATTACTATCTCAACATATCATGATAGGCCGACTTGCTTATGAGAATAGTTTTAGTATTGATAGTTGCTCAAATGAGTATCTTGGTACAATACTAGTGTCATCATTGGTTTGATATCTGATTTTTCATACTTTTGATAACCAAACGTAACCATAACTGTAAGATCTGATTTTACACACCATATAAAGGGTTTTTGTGTGAATAACACCTTATAACATTGGTGCAAACTGAAAATATGTTAACAAGAGCGACTGAAACTTCATGGTTTTATTCATCAGTCAGAGCTTCACCGAGTCAAAGTATGGTGTACTCCCGTCCTCCACTTCGCAAGACGACTCGGAACTCACTTCGTCTGGATAATCTTAGCATTAAAGATGCTCCCTCAGCAGTGACGTTTGCCTCTGATAATGCAACTGAAGGTAAGATTCAGGTGGATTGTGTTCAGTGCATCACTATAGCAATAAGCCTTGTGTCAATGGTCATATCATGTTTGTGTTTATATTTATGGAGAAGAGAAAAGTATGGTCCAAGCGACACCTCCAAAGATGCTCTCAGCCACTTTCAAAACTGACATTCAAGGGGATTTGTCTTCTCCTTCATCAAAATCACCCAGAAATGGTAAGTATGTCGTAATAACACAACATGACACATGTAAGACCAATTTTTTCTTCAATCCTCTGTAAAGTCAAGGGCAAAGGAAAACGTAAAGCCGAGGAGGCTGTTGAAGGGATGCCCTTCTCTTCGCCAATTCTGTCACCACATTCAAAGTCTCCTGGTAAAGGTGAGGCCAACCTCTTTGATACTGGTAAAAACAATTCATAATGGTTATGATATTATTATAGGAAAAGGCAAGAAGACTAAATGTATTCCAGCTTTGGAGCCTCTTCAGGAAGGAACAGAAGTGACAGACACCAATGGAAAAAAGTGGAAGTTAGTCAAACTGCTCAGTAATGCAACAACAGAGCTCATTTATGAAGGTAAATCTGTAGTATTGTACTTGTTATAACTTGTCAGTAATTAAAAACATATCTATATCTATATTTTTAGTGTTATCAACAAATGCAAAAGAATCATACTACATCATCAAACTGGTAAGATTTTTTAGATTCTGGGAAAACTGGAGCCTTTTCTAACTACTGGTTTTCTTTTAGGGGGCAAAGGATGGAAAAATATTTAATGAGCAAAACTTTTTGCAAAGAGCTGCTAAACCTGCATCTAGTAAGGCATATTCTTTTATATTAAAAATTACGTTTCGCTGGACGGTGGTGAATGAAACTCAAAGAATGTAATGGATTAGGCATAAAAATCTTTGTTTTTTTTACAGTCGAAAAATGGATCAAACAGCACAAGATGGGTTTTATTGGACTTCCTCAATGCATTGGCTTTGGATTACATGCAGACTCGTACAGGTATAACTATTTTATTATGTTCTGTAAGGCTTTTCACAGTACTCACAAATCTTTTCCATTTGTAGGTTTTTAGTTTTTCAAAACATGGGCCAGTCTCTTCAATCTTTAATGAGCAAACAAAACAGGCTTTTGTCAGAGGTCACTGTTCTTCAACTGGTTTGCCACATAGTAAGTAGTCGTCATTGGGTGATTTAAAAAACGTGTATATGAATCAATTACTCTTGCTCCATGTTTTAATAGTTTTATGATTTTTATCTTTTTTGTGTGTCCAGTTTTTTGTACTTGGCTCTCTACAAATATTGATTTTAGGTTAAATTTCAAATAATGTATGCATCTTGCAATGTATTGCAGCTTGACGTCTTGCTGTATCTTCATTCAAATGAGTATGTCCATGCTGATATCAATGCAGAAAATATCTACATCAATCAAGAGCGTGCGTCACAGGTAATTATTGATTATAAACTTAGAAATCTGTGCATTTTCACCAGCTGTGCCTGTGTTCAGGTTTATCTGGTTGGATACAGTCATGCCTTTAGGTACTGTCCCAGCGGTCATCATGTGGAGTACAGAGAAGGCAGAACACCACATGAGGGCGCTGTCGAGTCTATAAGTTTGGATTGTCACAATGGCGCAGGTCAGTCCCCAAGACTATATTTTTTATTATATCGTGGTTAAACGGCATTGACTTTTTTTAGTTACTAACGTCGGTAAAACCTTGTGTTTCACAACAAGAAGGTCCTGGGTTTGAATTCCAGTCAGAACAGGGCCTTTCTGTGTGGCGTTTGCATGTTCTCCCGTGTCTGCGCACATTTTCCTCCGGGTGCTCCGGTTTCCCCACCACTAAAAACATGTAAAATAGGTATGAATGGTTGGGGCTTTGAGGCACCAGTGTGTTTGGCGTCTCGCTACCGTCATCACCGTGTGTTGAGAGAATGGAATATATCTTGAACTTTTAAATTTGTAAAGATTTTTTTCAAAACATGATACAAGACAAAAGTTATTGAAATTGCATATTAAGAATTACTCACTAAGCTAAATTTTAAACACCAATAACGCACTATGCAGAATAGTGCACACATGAGCTCACACAACACAAAGGTTCATTCAGGGGATATTATAGGGACATGTTTACAGTGGTAGTTGAAACTAGAGCTCCCAGAGAAAGCATACAGACAAAAGGAGAACATGCAAACTCCACTCAGAAAGACCCTGTGCTGCCATGGACTTGAACCCAGGACTTTGTTGCTGAGAAGTGAGAGTGCTAACCACTCAGCCACGTGCTGAGACAGATGAACACCTTTTTATCACTTGTGTCATGATTCTTAATTGGCTCTTAATGTACTCTTTGCTTTTGAAAACCTTCTATAGTTTGCTGTTGATGCACATGCCATAAATAGACCCAACATTTTTGTTTGGAGTCACAATTCTAAGAGCTAATTTAGCTACAACTCAAGAGGTTCTTTACTCATTTTCCAGCTCCTTCACGCCGCAGTGATCTCCAGTCTCTGGGTTATTGTATGGTTTATTGGCACACAGGAGTCTTACCTTGGGTGACACTGACCTCACCTGAACAGATTGCTGCAGAGAAAAATAAGTAAGATAATTTCAGATTGAGTAGTGTTTGTACTTTTGAATTCACTTTTTTGTTTAATTAGGTATATAAAGGATGTACCTGGTCTTTTGCATTACTGCTATGGAAAGAAAAAAGTTTCTGGTTGGTCAAATTCTTGGATCGATGTGACATGTTATTGTGTGCATCTTACCATATTTCTATTCATTTGGGTTCAGGAGCTTTTCAGGCCTTCTTGTCAGCAGTGATGTCCCTGGAGTACAGCGAGCAGCCAGACTACACAGCTCTGAAGTGTGGGCTCAGTGAAGCTCTAAAGCAGATGGGTGGGTCTGTGGAGCAGCCGCTGTGCATTTAGGTCGTTCTGTGTCTATGGGTAGATCTAATGATGCTGACAGACTGAGTCCTTTTTGTTTTGTAGTGCACTGCTTTTAAATTTCACTGATCATAGGGGTGTCTAGTGGTTCAATACAGGCAGCACCCATGGTTTCAAACCATTCACACATTTGTAACTTATTGTTAAGCTTCAATCAGAAATGAATAGCCATGGTTTTGAAAACTCGCCTGCTAACTTATGTACTACTGAGCAAACTATGCTTTAACATGAATACCATACTTTTACATTGTGCCTTGTCTTTGTCAATGCTTTTAAAATGTGTTTTAAAAATAAAATTTCACAAATTGCTGGCTGTACGTTCTTGGCTTGAGACATTTGTTGCACTAAACCACTATGAGTCAGTCATAATTACAGTGTATGATTATGGAGTCTTCCACAATGACGAGAACAAGCTGCATTGGTCTTAAAGAAACCTTTATAAAGTTTGGACGTTTCAGAACATAAACATATGAACAATTCAAGACCTACACAATATTATATGAAACTGTAAATATTTCTTGTGCACACTTCTAGTCAAAATAAACACTGTTCTCTTGGTCTCCTCTGGCATTCATTTTTCAAACGATTATAATCTATCACTTGAGGCACTTTCTGAGAGAAGAGGCTTTTAGGGCACGAAAAGCATAAAGCTTAAACAATATAGCGTCCCCTAGAGGCGGGTACACAGTACAAAGCCACGCACCTGAAGGCTCCATGGAGCTCTAGCTTACGCACACAAGCTGATTGGAGCTTTGATTACACACAAGGCAGTGTGCGGCCACTACACATGCAGATACACATTTCACTGCAAAAATAATGACCTTGGAGTGTTTTCATTTTGTCCATAATGTGCGTAAAAACATTAAATCAAATGTCTATAAAAAGAGGAATGACATTGCTTTTAAAAAGTGGCTTTAAAGAGGAACTTTTGAAATGTGGCAAGTCAGTGGCAATGGAACTTCATAAAATATTCAGGCAAATAATGTGCTCATAAAATGTCTTTGTAACCGAATATAAACTACACGTAACACTGCAAATTGAAAAAAAAAATATCCAAAAATACTGACAATCTTTCAACTTTTAACCAGTGCCTTTTGAAAGATTCAAACAAACCTTTAAAATGCTTTATATAAAAAAAAAAATACAAGGCTCCTTGAGCCAATTCCTGAAATGCTTAAGATTTTGTTTAGTGAACAAGCACAAAACGATGGATGAGTGAATAATGATCCTTGACACCGGTATCATGGCATTGAAAGGATGAGGACACATGTTTGGTGGTCATTGGACACAGCTGAGGCCAGAGTTTTGTTGGCCATAACAAGATAATCTTTGTTAAATGCACAAACTCCGTCATGAAATGGGAGTCTGTTTGTCTGACCAGTGAGAAAAGCCATAGGCCTTGAGACGCCCGGCACACTTGATAGATCACCATAGTCTGCCTCCTTGGAAAGCAGTTGTGGCCATTGCTGTGCTCAGGGCTCCTCCTGATCATGAGACGTTGCTTCCTCTAAAATAACACACAATATGACATTAAAAGAATGATAGTTTGGTAACTTAAATGTGTCGGTGCTCATTCTACCATGTGTTTCATCTCCCTTCTCTTGGTCTGATTTCTGTAGTTCCTCTGGCATTTCGAACTGACCCAGATCCTGCAGGTCAGCAACACTTGATTCCTTTCAAAAAGATGTTTTTAAAGTTTATTTACATATGTGAAAATAAACAAAATTTACAACAACGTGAATTTTAAAAAAGATTGAAATTTACCTGTGATTCAGAAAAGAGATCGTCATCAGAGTTCCTAAATCCTTCTGGAGCTTCCATAATGATGTTTAGATCCTCATCGACCTCTTCATCACTGTACATTACAAAACAATTTCAAGATGTTTGCCATTTGGCACCTTTTAACAATGACTGACTGTTAAGGTTTGAGAGGAATCAGACATTACTTCCCAATTATTTTTCAGGCAATGACAAATAAATCTGGGATACAATTTTTGGTCTTATTTTTGAATGTACTGGTATTACTGAGATGTACTGAGACAGGCCTTTGAATCGGCCAGTAAATTAAAGAACCTCTGACTTTTACCGACCTTCCTTCTGAGATGATGTCTTCCTTTTCTTTATCCTCTGCAGTCGTGTCCATCACTTCATTATGACCCTCCACGGACTGATCTTGGTCCACTTCTTGTACAGCTTCTCCCTTTGATATAGTATCCATCTCTTTACATTTATCGTCTTCATGGATTTTGTCATTGTCATTGTCGTTGTCATTCTCCTCCACCTCCTCCTCCTCCTCTTCTTCATCTTCCTCCAGGTCAGAACAGTTGAGAAAGTCAAAGCTTTCCAGAGCTGTTTCCACTTCCTGGTTGAAACTTTCAGATGTTGGAAATGGAGCCTTAGAGGAACACAGAAGTTACAGGCTGGAGTACATTTTTATTTATAATGCCAGTCGTAAATTACCTCGGGAGTTTCCTCTTTTAACTCCACGTCCTGCACATCCTCCGGAGGTGGCTGCTGTTCCTCTTCTACCACCTCTTGATCTTTTTCGAATGAACAGTCAGTAACAGCCACGGACAATTCTTCGGCCTCTGTTTTCTCAAACACCGAGTCTTTTTGCTGATTACAGTTAATTTCAGGCAAACTGTCCACCAATGGAGTGGGGGACTCTGATACATCAGGACAGGAGCCACACAAGTCCACAGAGGTCTCTGACAGGTCCGCTGACTGAAGGGATGCTCTGTCAGACGCTTTACAGTCACTGGTGGGCCTCTGAAGGTGACCGTTAGAAACCGTATCGTTCAAACAGAAAACCTCCGGTGCCTCCGACTCCTCCTCCTCCTGGTTGGAGGAGAGCGATGGAGTAGACGCACTGGATTTGTGCGGACTGAGTGACAGCTGATTGGTGAGAGTGCTCTGCAGCAGGTTTGATGCAATAAGGCGCTGTGTTGGGTGGGCCAAGGCAGGACTTGACGAGTCGTCAGAGGATTCAGACGAGTTGGACCACACAGTCCCATTCTCCACTTCACCCTGTCGCTTCAGCAAAGACTACAAACAAAAATATAATACATTTAAAAGAATAGTCACTATTGTGAGTATTGTAAAGATATTTGTGACTGTTAAAGCAATGCTTAGCTCAAGAAGCATAAGATACTATTATTTTAGAGTTGTAACGACTTTTGCCCTGCTAGTTCATGAACTAATGCTACAACTACAACCAAAACACACTGACTGTGGCATAGGCGTGACTCGGATTGTTGTACAATTCAATTGGCAATGCAAGTGGTCCTCTAGGCCATGGCACCATCGTGGAAGCGGAAATTGTCGCCATGTCGGAGTTCGTCATGAGGCCTGTTCTTCGACGTGGTGATGAAGAGGAACACTACTCAACCACTATTAAAGAGCTACAAGGACCACAGCTGCGTTCATACGTGCTGGTGCTGTCACTCATCCTCCTACTGTTACCATTCGCCAGGAGACCTGCTCCGCTCCCCTCAGACAAGCCCCTCACACACTTTCCTCTGTGCACACGATCATTTGCACAACTACTACTACTACTACTACTACACACAAAACAGTTGGGAAGCCTCTGAAATAAAACAAGCCATTTAAACAGTCATGATAGCCATGAGTACACAAAAAACAAGATGATGAATTCAATTTCTTACATTGTAGGATTAACTAAGAATTAAATAATCATTCTTGATGCTGAACAAGAGTCTGTCTAAGCAGCTACAAACAGTCATCTACATGACTCACATAAAACACCTGCTCTCTCATGGAGGGTGTGTCTGGAGGGCTCTGGTTGGACAGCAGTCGCTTGGAGACTGTACTGCTGGACGATGTCTGGTCATCTTTATCAAATGGACTGAAAAACATAAGAGTATGAATAAAGCAGTGTAGTGTGTCAGCTGGTTGAGTTTTCATAAATAAAAAACAGTATAAAGTGTGGTTCATGAGCAGAAATGGCGACAGGTGAGCATATTACCTCCATGTGACCTCCAAATTCAGCTTCACTGTTCCCAGATCGTTGATGTCTACCGCCAGCGTCTGGGGGAGCGGGCAGAACAGATCCAGCATTTCACACGACACGGTGCCCACTATGACGTGATTTGCCAGGCTCTTCAACTCCGTCACCTTGACAACCAGAGAGAGGAGCAACTTCATTTCACAACAAGAAGCCATTTGTGAGTTTGCACATGAATTCAATAATGAATCACTTTTTGAAAATAAAAGATGCAGTCAATGATTTATCCGGACGCAATATTTAAAACACTGTGGGGAAATGTCCCTAAACCCCAAAGGAGTCAAGTTATCATGTGTTTTCAGCCATCTGGTCATGAGACGTGACCAGATGCCTGTTATCTCAAAAAGAAAAAAAAAATCATAAATATTTTGAAGTAGACCTGTAGAACAAAACCAATGAGATGCCTTCAACCCCCTCAGATCAATGGGATACATTCAACCCAGTTGGGTTTGGTGGAGGGCAGGGAGGGGGGGAGGGGTTTTGAGTCTGTGCAGCTCGGATGCTACTGCTAAGCTAACCTAAACCTAAACAGATGAAATCTGTAATGACTGCAAAATTATGTCATGTCATGTCATTGTCTTCCCCTTTATTAATCCATTTCTGGGTCTAATTCTGACTGCAATATTAAATAATGGAAAATAAATAAAAGTATCAGTATTTAATCAAACAACCCGGTTCCTGAAAGGACATCACATGAGCTTAAAAAATATGTCAAGAAAAGATATATAAATATGATATAATATGAGATAGTAAGATATAATTCAATTTAAATCATGAAGTCACCTTTTGGGGTCTAAACAACTGATAAATAAATCAAACTAATAATTGGCAAACTATCAGATTATCATTTGTTTAATACAGTTATTTTCACCTCACTTCCCACTTATGATGTACATAGTGTGGTCAGGAAGTTAGAACAACTAATAATAGAAATAATTACTGACAATAATAATTTCATTAGAAGAATTGTTTCACACCTAAGAATTATTTATTACCTTTATGGACAAGAGATCAGTGACTAGAGGCATGAATATATACTCCTCACTGTCCCAGATCTGCTTGTTGCTGACTTCCACGCGACCTCGAAGCCTCCATCGTTGCCGACCATAACGCATGAGGACCTAAAGAGGAAGTAACTGGCTTATAAAACACACTTACAAAGAAACAGTCAAGACAGTAAAATATATCCTTGCCTCATATTGATCACCAGCACATAACCGTGCAAAGCCAGCAAGTCCTGAATCACCAGAAATGAACCAGAAAATGAGAAGCTGCCAAGAAGTGAGAATGGGAAGTACAGCCTTGAATAGACTCACCCTTCATCTTGACATGAAACTCTCCCATGTGGCTCTCCAGTTCACTTTCAAGACTGCACATGTGCTGAGGACAAAACATGTATGTAAATATATGCGATTAAAACAAAAAGTCTAATTTTTGCCAAGGCCTCTCAAAGCAAACAAATATTATGCTATACTTTACAACTCACGATATAGGACACTGTATTTTAAAAGTGAAATCGTTGGATAAAATACATAGATAATATGAGAAACAAAAATCTCTTGCTCCCAAAACTTTAATTACAATGTTTTCTGATAGTAACATAATCCCAATGTCTCAATCGTATTTGTCATTTCAAAGTCCCACTCTAAAGGGATGCTCACAATCACTGACCAGACCTGATTTCTGAGAGTTCTAAGAAAAAAATATCAGCAATAGTGTTTAATTGCAAATTCTGCTCCACTTTAATTGCAAATAAAGAGGAGCTTACCTCAGTGCACTCTCTGTAGCCTTTGTTAGCTTCACTTAGACTCTCTCTGGCCTCTTTGCTGCCACTGGCCAGATTGAAAGCGGCGACCATTTTACTTGCGCCATCACGCACTCGCCGCTGAATACAGTAGGCATCGTACAACTCTTCCACCTGCACATCAACCATCTGGGATCACACCGAGGACATTCTGGAAACTGCACAAATGCATCACTACTCACTTTGCTGAGATGAAATTCAAGACGACGCATAAACCGCTCTATGGCTTTAACTTGCTGTAAAATAAAAATCCATTCATTCAGACCAATGTTGAGTGTGTTTACATATATTTTTAAAGTGCATATTTAATAAGATTGCATAAAGCGGTCTGAAATAATGCACACTTTTACTATCCAATAACAGTTGGATAAGTGTTTAACCCTGAAAAGGCCAGAGGGATTACACTTACTTTATCCAGCTCATACAGCGACCCCTGGGAAGAAAAATAATGATTAGCATTTAAGAACTCTTTGCTAAAACAATTGATTCAGGAGAAACTGGTTTGACTCTCACCAAGCGTCCATTTCTCTTGTTTTCTCTACTCTGCTGCCCCAGACTGTCCAACTCCAGCTGATGGACTTGTAGATACGACCTGCAGAAAACAAGGCATTTTAAAGATTCAGTTCTTAACTTAATCTATCATTTGTCTAAGTATATGAGTCAAAGTGTCATAAACTCACTGTAGTCCTCGACGTAATGCCGCATACACTTCATCCAACCTCTCGGGCTGAGGCGTCTTAGCAGGAGGCAGTTTGGTGGAGCCTGTGAACATCCTGCTTCCTTAGAGCTTCTGCCTCTTTGAGATCAAACAGTGCTGAAAACAGGTTATAGATTCAACAATGTTTGGTTGGTATTATATATAAATTACTTGTTATTTGTTGTTGTTGTCATTTGGTGGGAACAAAGAATTTCAATGCACACAAATGTTTCTTTATTTGTGCTGTGCTGTTAATGGAGCATTAACTTAACTATAGCCCCAAAAATGATGGTTGTAGCACGTTACATCGATTAATAGCAACTAATGGCATACTCTTGTTTACTAAGATTTAGTTTTTTAGCTTATTTACTATGAAGACGGGTTTGTGCCAATACACAGCTATAATTACTGCAGAATGAAATCATAATCAACTATCTGTTCTTTGTTAAACTTGTTTTTTTTCTTATTTTGCCCAACTAACTTATTTTCACATTTCAAATTACAACCCTAACTAAGTTTGTGACCGTTTCTCTTCAAAATTACATCACTAAAAGAAAAATGTGGGACCATATAACTATAAAAAAGTAAACAGAATCTATGGAGTAATGAAATCCTGTTCCTCACCTGCTCGAACAGTTGGATGTTGCACTTTACCAAAGTGGTCGACATATCCTGTAATTAGACAAACATTTTAGTGACAGCAAAATCTTGCACAATAATTGTTTCCCCTTTGGTCTATCATTATTTCCAACTGTGCTGAGGGTTAGACCAGGGTGTTTGAAATTGATCTTTACTACTTTTTATTTTGAAATGTCACATTGAGCAAAGAGAGAGACAAGAGCCACCAATGACAACAGTAGAGTGTGTCCGTGCTAGTCTTCCCCTTCCTTTCCCATTTCTCCCCCCCTCATATCCAACAGGAAGTTTGACGGCTGACTCCAACAGGAAATTCTACAAAGAATATACAACAAGTGTCTCAACAATGATTTTAATTTCTTTGCAAATGAACTAAGACCAGGGATAATATTAGACAAGATAAACAGAGAGAAAGGGAGGGGGTCGTGCCTCGGGCTAATCTAGTCACAAAAGAGATTAGTGACTTAAACCAAACTAAATCTGTCAAGCAACAGGCAAATCGTGATGACACATGGGTATGAGAGCAAAAGCCACATAATGTATTCTTAATAAGCACTTCGTTTAATAGACTAAACAACAATACAATATATACAACTTTAATATGTTTACAGTGAAAACACCCAAAAACAGATCAGTAATAACAGAGAATTGTGTTATCCATGTGTTTTATCGGGTGTACTGGGGGTTTTCATAGCTGGAGGCCTTAATAACCTAGTAATAAATCCCAGGATTAACTGTGGTTGGTCAAAGTAAAAAAAAAAAAGGGAAAGAAAGTGCCACATGGCTTTCTATAATATGTAATACAAACATAACAACTTGACAAACTCACAAGAAATATAAAAAAGTTCAGTTATATTGAAAATCAGTTCACACTTCACACAAACTGGAGCCGCTGGACACAGAAAATACTGACAGCTTTACCTTTACAAAAAACATTGTGCATTTTACTTTCTATCCAAAGTGCTTAGAACCTTATATTATGAATAATTATCTGGATAAATATTCTGTTCGAAGCAGAGTGAACAAAGAGGATACTGTTTGAAATCACCTCACAAGACTGCAGTTGTTTAAAAAAAAGAAAAAGAAAAAACACACACACACAAACACACTCACAATCTCCTGTTCTCAAAATGCTGCTAAGGCTGCTCTTTAGCTCAACTTTTTGGGCTAGGCTTTGGGTTATTTTTATTTATTTTTAACTTTTTCTGAACCATATTTTTCATGAAAAGTATTAGGTTCTTCTTAACTCTACTAAGAAGACAAGATGAATCTTCTTAAACCATATGTTTTCATGTAACTATCAAGTTACAACTGACTATAACAGCATTGTATTTGTTGATTAATTAATCTTTCTTAAAGGGCTGCACAATCATCATTTAGACCAAGTCATCAGCATCTTGTGTCATGTGAGGGTTAAAGTAACAGACATTGCTGTGTCTAGTCATGTCATGTATATCCCGGAGGCGCAATGAATCACTGCATGTCCAATTCAAAGTGTCAAAGACCTACAACAGGACAATCGAAGTAACGCTTAATCAATAAAATATTACCGCCGAGATTACAGAGCAGAGAATAAGACTCAATGGGCAAGAAAAAGCGACACTTAGAAACGGAAACTCAGTCTCTGCCTGGGCCCAGCAGTAAAAGGCGAGAAGGATGGAGTTCACACAACAAACTTGGGAAACAGTGAGTGTCGTGCAGCATTATTCAGCTCCCACCCCAAATAGCAGGCCACGGAAAGTCTATTCACTCCAAACGGGACCCCCTAATGCACAGCAAGCTACCCCTATTCAATCACGAGTGTTAGAAGAAATCCCAGGGTTCTAGCCAGGAGGAAAACACTGAATCACAGCCAGCTGGTCGCTAATAATGCTTTTCGGAAAAAGGACGGACTCGTGCGTTCTCAATGCCCATGTAGAGGAAAATGTGCGGCAGATATATGGCCAAAAAAGGATCTAATCTTACCTTTGTTTTGCGCAGCGACCACGCAGGATAAGTGGGTTGCGTCCCATGTTTGCCTGACAGTGTTTATATGCACCGGTTTACAGTTATTTGGGCGCTGTCCTCATTCTTCCAGATTTCGCAGTTCGTCTTCTTGAGTGTGCTGCGAGTTAAGCAGATGAATGTCAATAGGGCGAGTTCCGGTAGTTGCCTTTCACAATAAAATCAACCAGAGTATGAAGTTTTAACCTCAGTTTCTTGTAACGAAAGGCAAAAAAATCAAGATAGAAACAATAACAAAAGGAATTCAACTATATTGCCCTGTCTGTGGCCATTATTGGGGCCCCTACATATAAGCTAAGTTGTGCTTCTTGGGAGTCCCTTCACAAACCTACATATCTAACTAAGTGTAAACAATGTGGATTCACAGAAACAGCTCAACATTTAACATTCCTTTATACATTTTAATAAATTGGAAGAACGTGTATATAACTACTTTGGGAAAACTCATGAGCATTTGTGGATAATTACCATGTTATGCAATATTGAGTACTTTTTCCTACAAAATTGAGTTTTAGTATTGTGAGTATTTTGCATGACGGGATTAACAAAAAAAGTAACTCAATATATCTTGATGTCCATCCATCCATCCATCCATTTTCTACCCTTTAATCCATTTCTGGGTCAGGGGGGTGACAGTCAGAAATGCCACCCAAGTCTCATAGCACCAGCCCCTCACTGACCCTCTGCAGGTGGAGTCCACAGGAGGACGGCTGCTCTCTGAGTGTGAGCATAGCCTTGATCTTTCAGTGGGGGCTTTTGGGCAAAGTGGGGTTAAGTGTCTTGCCCAAGGACACAACGACAGCAGTCATCAGTGGGAGTCGATGGAGAAGGTGCAGAGGTGGGAATTGAACCCACGACCTTCTGGCCTTAAGGCCAATGCTCTACCAACTGAGCTCATACAAATATACGAAGATGCCTTTATATGTCCCCATTTTTTGTCAAATATTCAAGGAAAAATACAGATCAGGGATTCTTCGTCCTTCGCAAAATGTAGAGCAGATTGTGAGTACTTGCAGTTAATCTAAAATTGTCACTGTACTCGTGATTAAAAAGTTAAAAATAAAGCAATTTAGCAACAAAGTACTTCCATGGGCTTGACCGTGAGTTTGTTTATTGTGAAAGATTTAAACGGAAATCAGTTGGTTCGGTAGCTTTTGTTACTGTGGCAACGCGATGATGTCCGTAAACGATGAAGTCTTGTCACTCTCCCCCATGCTGTCCCAAAACAAATGTTGAGGGCTTTGGAGTAGTTTATCAATTTTTCCTGAAACGTATTTATGTCAATACATGTTACGCATGTGTTTAAAATGTTGCTAAAACAGAACGGAAGATAAAGTTAGCACAGATGTTTCGTAATGGAAAGGACAGGTTACGTTAGTTGGATAATTATGAGTAGTTCGTTGACAACTCTTAAAACAAGGACTCACTCCACGCTATAGACCGAATTTAATGCCGATTAGTCTTTCGCAGCTATACCCAAGTCGGACGACCAATTTGTACGTCAGGACCTCTACATTTATAGTGGACATTTACCATAATTACCAATAAACTGCTCTTTGAAATGTTGTGAATTCACGTGAATGCAACCCCTTTAATCATTCTCCACAAACTTACGTTACTGCAGAAGAGACGAACTATATACATAAGTGATTTGCTTAACATACTTCTTGCCACAGTAGTAAAGAAATGCGACAGTTGATAAGTTTTTCCATTTAATAAAATATATTTGCAAGCAAAATACAGTTTTGTGTTCATATCAGCCAGGTTCTGAAAAGTACAATGCCATAATTAAAGCAACACCATGTAACTTTCTTGAGGTGATACTGGCATGATTAAATGAAAGAAAAAAAACTTAAAACCATCATTCTCAATAGAGTAGACATCCATGAAAGCATTTGCACAGACCACCTCAGGTGTGTGGGACATAGGTTTACATAACTTCATACATTGAAAACAGTGAGGGTATTTTTCTATTTTGGGACTAAAAAGACATGGTGAAGCTTTAACTGTATCGCTACTTATTATCCCAACATGGTAAATATTGCCAAATCCTTCTCTAAATGGTTGTACAGATATAAATTCCTTTTTCTTTCGAATTAAAAATTGTATGTCAAACAAGTTGTACAAAAAAGGGCAACAGAGTCGAATGGCTACAAAAAGGCAAAAACAACTTTCCTTGCACCTAATCATGTCTATAGTAGATTATGCATCTTCTAATGCTACAATACAGGAGCACATGAGAAGCAGTAGACTCAAAAAGCAGTAAAAACAAGTTACAGACATATGATTCACACAGTAAACAAACTACCCAATAATGTATTAATTCATGTAAATAAAAATAAAATAAAACCTCCTGGCACATCTCTGCATCAATCAGCAAGTACTAATCTAGTTACAGAGTAGCCCACGGTTTGACTTATGAAAAAAAAGACCTTTAGTAACATTTTGCAGAAATACAAATCGCAGTTGTTTTTTTTAATGAATGCTGGCAGATTCACAACATACTAGATATGACGTACACCTATATTTAATCTTATAATCTCTAAAATTGAATTCTGTGTCAAGGCAAATTTAAAGCAATTGAGACCCTGGAGATACCCCGACTTAATATATTTAATCTGAGAAAAAGACTTCAGAAAACAGTACTTGTCAAACCTCATAAACAAGTTTTAAACTTACTGGTCATCAAAGGTAGCCTTTTTGTCATCAAAACAAATTTTGCTATGCAATTCCAAAAGCCTCATTCGATAGACATAATTTTAGATTTGAATGTACAGTGATTTGTGTGAAGGTTGAAGTAATCTAAATGAGTGATGTAAAAGAGGGCCGTCTACACGGCACCGCTGGACTCAGGGCATCACCGGTCCATCATGCTAAGAATCATTTCAGGAGTCAAATCTCCGTTTGGAGGCGCCTCACTTAACTGTGGCTCCTGAACTGCTTCTTCCACCTGGGACAGATCCTCCATCTGAATCTGGGTATTTTCATCCCCAACAATCACTTCTTCAGCAATGTCGTCTTCCTGCTCATCTCCAACCTCCTTCTTCACGACAATATCATTCACCTCTCCAGTCAATTCATCCTCTACCCGAATGAAAGCAGCAGGCGCTACAATGCAGGAGTTGAAAGATCAGGTTTCTGTCATGCCATTGGAAATCAAACTTTAATATGCAAATCTACCATATTGTGTGGCAGGCTTCTTTGGGGGTCTTCCACGCTTCCTCTTTACAGGGGGCTCTGGGGCTGGTATAGGAACAACTGGTGGAGCCTGTTCCAACTCCATCTCACCAATGACAACATCATCATCATCCTCCTCCTCCTCATCCCCCTCCTCTTCTTCTTCCTCCTCCTCTGCCTCCATTTCCCCCTCTAGAATAAAATACATTACTCTTACTTTTCAAATCAAAAATACATATGTGGGCAATTAATACAATTAGTCGTCTATACCAGTGTCGTCATCATCAGCCTTTGACTGCATCTTCCTTTTTCGCCCACGACGTCCCCTCCTGGCTGGAGTTTCATTTTCATCACCCATATTCTCCCCTGTGCAGCTGTCGGTATGGCGAAGCATGGTGTTCTGCAATCACAGCCATTACATTTTAAGAATACATTCCATTATTTGTGGGAATATGCATAAATTGGTCATCTTACTCTACGGGTAAAGGTTTTGTTGCATTTGCTGCAGACAAATGCAGTGGGGACAAAGTTTGGATCATGGTAGCGTTTGAAGTGCATATCCAAAAGTTGTTTCTGCCGGAATGTCTTCTCACACTGACTGCAGGCAAAGGGTTTCTCTCCTGTGTGTGTCCGTTTGTGCATAATCATGTGACGTTCCTACAAGCAGAGAATTAGTTAACATAAACCAAGACGCAATGCAAGGCTGCAAATAGAACATACTTGTCTACAGCAGTAGTCACACATGTCACACTTGAAGCGCTTCTCATTCTTATGAGTTTTCTGGTGCTGAATTAAAGCATATCGCTCATGGAACACAGCGTCACAGTAACGACACTTTCTCCCCGTTTCAATAAAGGAGTGTTGCTTCCTTAAATGCACACCTTAAGAAATATAAAAGGACATTTGTTAAACCAGGTGATAGATAATCAGGAGACCAAGCGTACAGAGTACTACATACCGAGGTCACTCTTTCGAGCAATAACTGTGTCACAGTGTGGGCAATGATACTTTGCCACATTCTCGGTGTGTTTCTGGAGGATGTGCATCTTCATAGTCCCACTCTGCGTGAAGCGAGCATGACAAATGTAGCATTCATAAGGCTTCTCACCTGCAAGCAAATGTTGGTGTTCTAGAATGCCTCATTTACTTGTGCCATTACCAGATCATAAACGTCAAACCTGAATGTGTCCTCATGTGTCTCTTGAGCTTGTAAGTGTCTCTGCTCGCATAACTGCACAAGCTGCACTGGAAAGGCCTTTCTCCAGTATGGGAACGAATGTGCCTTTTTAACTTGCTGACCTAAAAATCACAATAAAGTGATCAATTTAATAATTAAAATACTTAAAACTTTACTATCCAAAAAATGCATTAAAATATAACTTTGTTAAAATAGAAAATACTTGAATATGAAGATTGCTCACATACCTCCACACTACAATAATCACACATTGAACACTTGAATGGTTTCTCGTGGGTGTGTTTATAGCGACGGTGCCGCACCAGCTCTCCACTTGTCACAAAAGCCATGTCACAGTCAGTGCATTTATGGGGCCGTGTTCCTAAAAAGTAGAAATGGTTTAACTTTATCCATAAGCACAAGATTGATACCTTAAGAAGGAAAATTCATTGCAGAAAAACACACCTGTGTGTGTGTTGAGGTGATTTCTAAGTAGTGTGACTGTTCTAAAGGCCCTTCCACACAAGTGACATTTGTGTGGTCGTTCGTCTGTATGACTCTTCATATGACGATCCAAGTTGGAGCGACGAGGACATGTGTAGCTGCACAATTCGCACTGAAAGGTCTTCTTCACGCCTACACATAAAAATATATACATTTGTAAATGCCCATCTTACTAGTTCAATGCGTTTATTCTTTGTTCCAACCTTTCTTTTTAATTTTTGTAGGCTTAGGTGGTTTCATGTTTCCCACAACCTTCTCAGCATTGACTTCAGACAGCAATCCTTCCTGCTGCTCCTCTTCAAAGTCATACACAGACACATCCATGTCTCTGTCTCCTTCAGCATATCGCAATCTGCTCTTTTTTCCCTTCTTTAGTTTGCGGACAGTTTGAATTGGCTGATAATCTGGGTCTTCTTGGTCCTGAGGGGGAATCGCTACTCCAATGTGCACCTCTTCTTCTTCCTCTTCCTCCTCCTCCACTGGTCCTTGAAGGTCTTCATGAGTCCCCTGGAGTGCATGCTCCACAGTCTCAACTTCACCGTTAGCACCCACTTTCACAACCTGACAGGTTTAAAACTGGGTCAAAAAATGTATGAGAAAACATTTACCTCATTCATATGGAAATGTTTTTACCTGAAAGCCTTCAGGCAGAGGTAGTGTGTGACAGATAACTGGTTCTGAGTCCTTGTTAGCCATAGAAGCCTGAACATATGTTGCTTGAAGACCTTCCACCGTTGTAGTCGAGACAGGCACCTGAACAAGCTGAAGCTGTCCAAGTCCCAAAGCAGCACCAGTCTGCTCCTCCATGTTGACAACCTGGCAATCAAACAATGTCTTAGTCATTACAGACTGCGCAGATAGATTTTAACAAAAAGGCACCTACCTGCAGAGTAATGATTTGACCTTCTTCTCCTCCAGTTACCGTCACAGTACCACCTCCTTCCAACACTTCTGTCTTCATTTGTAAGAGAGCTGGGTCTAGAGCATCCATAACCATCATCTCCATGTTAGTGGCCACCTCTGCCTGCTGAGCCTCCGCAGTGTCCTGTAACAGAACGTCTCCACTCTCTGAGAGGACCTTTCCATCGGTATCTTCCATGGACACAACTTCGCCCTCCATGGCAACGGGGCTTGGAACACTCTATGAAAACAAAGACAATGATCATTTTATGACTGCGAATCCCAATGACAAAATTCAGGACGTGGTGGCAATATAAACAAAATAATACAGCCCGTTCAAGTCAAAACATCAAACTTATTAAAGTTCGGCAGGAGACAATGTGTGCCGACTTGTGAAAACTTGTGTATATTAGCTACGCTATAAAAGATATATTTGAGTTTCATCTTATTTGGATTTCATTGTTTGACCGAAATTATTAAAATATACTATCCTAACATTGTGTTTGTTAAAATCTTAAATGTGCAGCGTTTAAATCACGAGCACACGTTGGTTGGTTCAGTAAAGATATATGTTAAAACAGGAAACAAAGGGCACGTTAAGATGGACGACAGGCCTAACTTTTATTATGAGGAGAGTTTAATCAAAGTCATCTCTACCTTTGCAAAAACAAATATTGCTCGGTAACGAATACACACTCGACCTCAACACAGAGTCTCACTTTATGGACTGATTTGGTGAATGTTGGATAACGATAGAGGGAGACAAACACCCCCACCACAGCCTGCAAGCGCTACCGTGACACCTAGAGGCCGACGACAGATCCTACAAAAACCTTTACATGTTTGGTGGAAAAGTAAGGGTTTTACTCACTGTTCACGGGTTGTAGTTTTGGTTATATTCGCGTATAAGTCGAGTGACTGGCGTTGATCCTTTCAATCCCGCTGCCCTTAGACAAATAAGCCGAGCACCAGCCTTAAAATTTTCTCCCGCTTAGAAGAGTGGGCCCAGCACAAAATGGCGGCCCATATGTCCCGATGCGCATGCGCATTGGTCAAACTAGAGGCGTGGTCTGTTTGTGCTACAAACAGTCGGCGCCACTTTTGAATTCAGCGGGGATAAGGCATGGATCTATTATAATAACGGGGATAAGACACACAGACAGATATTGGGAACACATTTTTATAGAGGCGGGTCTATCGAGTATATTTATTCATTCTATAACTTGTGAATTCCATGAAAGGCAGCTGGAGTACACATTCAAAGCAGAGATGGGGGAATACTAGATAGGGACTGACAAGCTCCACACAAATCAGGTCTTTATGAAAACATAAAGCCTTATCATACATTGGAATGGTTTTAAACAAAACGCAATGTTTTAGTTTTATGTCAATAAAATTGACTTTGTATACTACTATTTCTATAAGTACTAAGTATTGATACTAGATTAGCATCAATTATCAATAAGATTTTCTATACTTTGGAAAAGTATACTAGAGACGCCTGAACTTGGCAACACTGGCCAAACACCAGCCACACTTAGAACACTTTAGTACCAGCTCAGCCTGGTTAGAACCAGGGACAAAAAGTACCTGGTTGCAGTTAAACAGGGCCGGTGGAAATTCTCCCAAGCGGGGTAGAGCAGAGCTGAGTGGAGTAGAGTAGGGCCAAGTAAGGCTCTTGGAAATGGGGTTTTTGTGTTGGTCTTTTGCAAAAGAAAGAAATGTTTGAAGGTACTGTTTTATTGATGCTTGTCCTTGTGACTCCATTCCAATGTATTCTGCTTTACCAATTCCTATATCACAAAAGTATTGGACAGAGACATACCCACAACAGACCAGTAGGCCTATCCAGATTCTATAGTAACCATGGTGTCTAAGCATTCTGAGTCTGACCATAGACCATTCGAACACTTTGGTGTGTCCCTCGTCTTCCCTGGGGTTTTCTGCCAGTGAGACATGCCCAAAAGGCATCCTAAATTGTTCGCAAGGTATCCTAAACAGATGCCGGAGCCACATGTACCGTATACCTCTCAATGTGGAGGAGGAGCTCATCCTGCATGTTAAACTTTCTAATCTGTTGAATTACTTTAAAATGTTTTATTTGTTAGTTCCGATTATTTCAAACCTGCAGAACACTGCAGGAATAATGATTAAGCAAAATAAAATGTAAAAAAAATAAAACACGAAATAGATTTAACATACTACATACATATTTTACCTACACATGTATGTATCCATACATGTGTTTACAGTCTATGATCCATACTCATGCACATTCACCTAATCTATTTTCTCATCTTTAAATGTAAAAATACACAAAAGAATTATGATGATTACAGGTAAATAAGATTTTTATGGTGTAGTTTAATTATGACAAAAAAATGTGTTTCTCAAACTGTGGAACATATACCATGGTTGGTTTCTGCTGGTACACAGATTCCTTTTTTAATTTATAGTTTTAATTTATATTATATTTTAATTTTGAGTACCAACAGTTGTTTTCTCAAGGGTTAATCCTCATTTAGAACTAAAAAAATAATAATAATAAGGTCTTATTTCATACTTTGTTTAATCCAAATTACAAGTAGTAAGTAAACATTTTGATGATTTGGTATTGTGGCAGATTTTAAAATATACTGGTACTCGATGTGCAAAATGTGTGCTTTTATATGACTTCAAACGTAAAAACGGAGGCCTTATTATCACAGTAAATCACATTAATAGCACGAGCACTACAAGTAATAATATTATTATTTTTTAACCTAATTTACTTAAATTGCCTATATCTTTCACTGTTTGGTCAGACTATGACTGATGTGATGAGAGATGAAACGTCTCAAACCTGGTGCAGAAATTTAGTTTACTTGTCTTGATCTTTACTCATCATTTTGAGCTTTAAGAGCATATTTTTTATTTATTAATTATTATTTAATGACATAATCCACAGACTGTTTAATTTAGCACAGGTTAATTATATTTTTGTTGAAGCCATTATATTAATATTATTTGTGCATAACATGATCTATAATGCTGTTGTTGCTTTAATCTAGACCTGCCTCATCTGATCATTCTCGCTTTTTCCCATGTCTGTTCCAGGGGAGGGGGCTGAGAAAGGCGAGGTTCTGTTGTCAGATGTGTCAGTCTGGGCTGTGTCCCGCCCATTTTACTGAAGGCATTACATACTGCTCCAGCTCTTAGCAACCGTGCCTCGGCAACAGAGCCAAGGCAGCAGCGTGCCGTGTCTCCCCAATGGAGCTGCCATTGGGCGGACCAGCGCTCCGGCACTACACCCAGAGCAGACCAAGACCTCATCGACAAAAGCTGAATTATCGTCCCACCAGACTACAGGTACAGAGTGACAGAGGGGTGCTATTTGAGGAATGGAAAATGGGGTTGTGTGTGAAAAAGAAAGCTGCTTGGAGTGAGAAATGCAAGGGGGGACAGAGGAGCGAGGCAGGGGGAAGGGAGGGAAAGAGGGGGTGCACTGGAGAAGATGCCTGGTCCCTGCTTTAAAAGGCAGTTCCATTGTACCGGTCACCAGCTGTGTGAATCACTCAAATGGATACACAGAATGTGATTTTGAATGCTGAAATAATCATTATAATCTTAGAATTAGTTTAATCAGGTTCATGTTGGTTTATGTCTTTCCATTAAATTCTAAACCAGATTCGTCTTTCAACCTGTAGACTTATACATCATGTCACATCCAAGGCAGCCGGTGCCCACTGGGACCAGATTCCCAATTCCCATAAGGAGGATATCATGTAATGATGACTTCTGTTAAATTGTGTTGTGTAGTCAACCTTATAGATTTTATTACATCTTGTAGGCATAATTGATAACATGATCGGCTGATACAATATTGTATAACTCCATTGTGATCTCAAATTACACACATTGGCAAAATGAGTCTCTCTGCTCTCATTCCTCATATAAAACCCAGCTACGCCCCCTTATTGTGTGTCACTGAGCAACTGAATCCTAGTTTGTTTGGCTGCTTTGTAATGTAGAAGTAGTAATACTAATATTTCAGGGTGTCTGAGACAGTTAGATGGCATGAACCCTCATAGTGTTTGTTTTCTGTTCATAACTCTGCTAATTAGGAGACCATAATTGAGTGTGAAAATGAAGATTTTGAGCTCATGGGACGAGTTGATGAAGGAGTTGAGGAATTCTTTACAAAGAAAGTACTTCCCACTGAAACACTGTGAGTATCTACAGCTAATGATTTACTGATTTAAACTTTTCACTTTGTCTTTGGCTGGTTGCAAAAACCTCATCAAGACACTTTAATTTATCTATGAATAGAGAAAAAGAAGAGGATGATGGGGAAGAAGAAGAAGAAGAAATGATCACAGTGCATGAAGTGGCTCCTGCTAGCACAGTCTCTTGCCCACCACCATCTAAAACACTCAGGAGGAAACTTGGTGATTTTTTTACATTGAAAAAGAGGCGTGGCCTAAAATCAGAGCCAAGCCAAGAGGGGCGTCCTAAAAAGGCATCAATTGCTGATTTCATTCGGCCTCTCAGGGAAGTGGCCAGAGGTGAAAAGGATAAAGATAAAGACAAAGTGAAGGAACATGACAAGGAAAATGAAAAGGGGAAGTGCAAAGATATAGCTTCCCCTGGGGAACCTGTTCAGGGGAAGCCCAATGCTGACACTCTACAGATGAGAGAGTCTGTGGCTCCCCGCCGAGCACTCCGAGAAGGGAAGTCCCAGTCACTTATCTTACTATCTGGATCAGCTTCTGGGGCCAGCCGGAACAAGGTCCATGTTAAAACGCATGTGAATGTTTTGGCATTTTTAGCACCATAATAAAACAGATGTACTTCTATTTCAGAAACTTGATGGCCAAAATAGTTTTGAACAGAAACTTCATTTAATGCTGCAGCGTATTGGAGTGTCTAAACCCCAGTCTGGAGAGACGCAGGTGGGTTCAAAACTAAGCTAAATTTGAAACCACACAACTACGATGCTCAAGTATATATCTTTTCAATTTACAGAACCAAGAGGGGGAAATGAAAAAAGCAGAATCTGAAGGTATGTCCGAGAAATCCAATCCTGTTTTTGTTTTTTTAATAAACAAAAAATATATATATATATATTGTTACAGGTACAATCATTGACAATAAGCCAGAACCACCTACTGCAAAGCCACGAACAATGTCAGCATCTTCAGGTAAAATACAAAAACTGTTATGTTCTTTTTTTAACATGCAATTTATTAAGAGTAAATATATTTATTTTTAGACACTAGACATCAACTTAGATCCAGTGTATCAGCCCATGAGTCAGCAGGAAAACCTCCTCTACTTCCAAAACCAGTCATCAAGCCTGGACCACCAACCACATTATCTGGACGAACCACTCCTGAGAATGAACTAGGCCAAATAGAAGGAAAGCCCAATGGGCTGTTCTCAAAAGGCGCAGAGGCTGCTCCAGCTGTCAGTACAAGTTCCTCTCTGACAATCTCAGACCCTGCCCCCGACACAGTCACAGTTTTACCTTTAAGTAAAAGCGACACACATGTATGCACAGAGTCAAGTGTGGAGGCCAAAGCACCTGCAGATAAGGGAGAGCAAGACTGCACAGCCACCATCACTGCAGAAGCCCCTACTGAGGAGATAGCACTAAAAGTGACCACCCCGACTGAAACACCAACCACTGTGTGTGATTCTACCTTTATAGAGACGGTTGCCACTTCTTGCCCTTCAACGGTTACTGTAGACACTGAACCAAGTGGTGACAACTCCTCAAACTCCACTAAATTATCTGAAACTGAGCCAAATTCTACTACAGACAGTATGTCACCCTCCACCAGCACATCACACATACCAGCAGGTCAATCAAACAATGTAGTTACTACTGGACCTTGTACACTCGCCAACGAACAATCTGAAAGTGCCAACACCGCACATGACATTAAAGCTACTACACCCGAAATTGATATCTTAAGTGATGACCTGATGACTGTTTTTAATTCAACATCAGCTGCTGACACTACGATTGTCGCCACAATGTCTTTTTCGCTCCCTGCTGAAACTTCACTCACTGCAATACCTGAAACTCCAATTGTCACTCCTTCCACCATGAGTAATACATCTACAGTTAGTGATGCACATAACACTGTCACCTCCATTATTACAAATGAAATGACTGACCACCCTCAAAACACACAAACCACTGCTTGCTCCCCACCTATGGTAATCTCAGAAATCCCAAGTACTGCCATTGATCCAGTTACTGTGAATGTTTCTGCCACTGAGAATGACAATGTTACTGCTGATCTGGCTGTGCTTTCTGATGAGCACTCAAGCCAATCTCCACCTGAAGCCTCATTGACAGAGGATGCAGTGAATTTCACAAGTAAGTTTTACATTTTGAAAGAAAACTCATATTATTAATCTTGCATCCGACTATTGTCAGTGATGGGAAATCATCTCCAGTGCTGAAGCAGGGGAACACGCTCACGGTGTGTAACCTGTTTATAAACATGGCGGAGAGCACAAATGCTCACCCACACGTGCAAACCCATGAAAGGGCATCTGTTTGTCATGGCGCTATGTTTTAACTTCGCATCCGAGTGTGTGTGCAATATTGTACAATTTGTTTCCTTTAAAAGTGATTGTCTAGAGTTTGTCAGAAAGAGAGACAGAGAGTTACTTGATTTTGAAAAAAAAACAACCCAAGCTCCCTCCCCCTTCCTTTCAGATTGGTCTACACTCTCTTACCGAATATAAGCATGATTTCATAAATGTTGTTTTACATTAGTAGGCCCGAGCGCCACCAGGCTGGCAACAGGGACCTATTGTAATGAAAGTTGTGCAAAAACACTGAAACCCCCTCGAAAGCAGAATCATGTCATGGTACATGATTCCTGGGACTACACTGTACTAAAAACTCCTGCATTGCAACATTGGTTTTGATGTACAGAGACCAAAAAGTCATAAGTGCAAGTCACTGACAATATATTAAACCGACACAACCCTTTTAGGGCTGCTTTGGTTTTGTGAACTGTTGTTGTTGAATGTACCACATTTTACTCTTATCCGTGTACAGTCACACTCTGGCCGAGCATTTTCACCTGCCTCATCAAAGGCAACTTGAAAAATTCATAAAGGGGCCAAAGTATGAACATGGTAAATTATTAAATATTGATGGACATATTTCACTGATGCCACGGCACAATCTAATCTGTGGATTGTCTTTATGGACAGTGAGTTTAAAATGATTGCAAATGATCTGTGAGGCATTTACAGAGGAGGCAGCAGGAGGCTGAAAAGGCTTTTCCAGAGAGATGGAATTGGCGCTCATCCTCTGAAGCTTTTCTCCATGATTATAATAAGAGAATTTGTTTTGTGTTGAACTTATTCAGTGTCTACATTTTCAGAGCCAATCAGATAACACAAATTCATAAAAAAGCAATGTACATATTATGCCAGAAAACATTTGTCTTTTTTTGTTTAATCTCCCTCTTCTACATACAAATTTGACAAAACACAGATAGTAAGAAATTGTCTGCTTGTCCCAAAAGGCCAAAGTTCGGCACAAAATGTTTTATGGCATGTTCTCTTTATGATCAGTAATGTGGAGACCATGGGTGTAGGAGTGTGTGTGTGCGTGGTGGTGTAATAATATCTTTAACTTGTAATGTACTTTTCAATCCTGTGTTGACAAGTTTCTCAAAACGCCACACTACTTTTTAGTCATGTTAATCCACACAGTGGTGTCACAGCTGGGTTGGAGATGCCGGCTACTAATCTGTGACTATTGCCACCACCAGGCAGTCTCTCACTATGTCCACACATGTGGGTGAAGTGTCATTGCTCAAGAACATACCAGACTGCACTTGGGGCAGCCAGATTTGAGCCACCAACCATAGGCCCCTTTTATAATGATTGTACACATAGACATAAGCACTGGCATTATTTGACCATTAAACTTTTGGTCGCGTGAGCTGCTTCAAATCCCTATTGATTGATAGTCTGAAGTAATGGCAGCTTTTGTAGAGCAAATTTACTACTGATATTTACAACATTCGTCCATTTTCCCCCGAATAAATAATATTGACAATGACATGCGCCATAAAATTCATTATTGCGCATAAATTCATTGGGCATAGATAGTACTCACTACTACCTACCCGTATTATAATAGATCCATGCTCATACCACGCGGGAGTGGGCGGTGACGATAGTGACGACACTACCCGACACGCCCTCTACTCGACACGCCGCCGTACTGCACGGCCGCAGACAGATACACTTGAAAAAGTCTTTAAAACTCTTAAATCGATCTAATCCCCAAATTAAGACACATGTTTTGCCTAATTTCAGCATTTTTTAGACTATTTTCTTCATCACTGTATCACTCTATGGTTCTGCCTCTGGCCCTCACAGAACGCTCGGTCAAGTCTCTCCGAATCTTGGACCTCATCGCTAGACCCCGCCCCCTTGTCAATCACAAACAAACCACAAAACCAACCCAATATTATTTAAAAAATGACTTTATCAAGTGAGAATACGACTGTTGTGGACTCACATTCCGAACAGCGCAGCCGTACAGAGAACCGTTTCAAATAATGATCCTTTAGAAGAAACACAATCCCTAGAAGAAAACACATCCCCAAGATCTGTCGCACAAACCCAACATGAGAACAAGGCTTTCCCTGGTTTATTCAGCCAGAAAAGGAGGAAAAATAATATCAAAAACTCCCAGACATTTCCCTTTAATCTGCATCGTAGAGAGGGAGGAGAGACTTTGTTTTAAATACGTATATTCAAAGTGGTAACCATGAAACGGTGAAGATCCTTCATTCAGTATCGACAAAAACAGCATATAAATATATACAGCAGATTGCAGTGGTTTGAACCGGGCCACGCGGGAAAAGGTGAGAATATGAGCCTTGAAAGTGAAAGTAAAAGTATAACACGGCTCCGTGCTTTTTGGTACCTGTGCTAAAAGTTTATTTCATACAAATTTATACAAAATAAAAAACTGAAATGTTAATGAATTCGAACGGAACTCATTTGAAACTATATTAGATATTTGATGTTTTTAGGTTAAAAATGTTGTTAGGTGAGAATTACTATTTCACTAGTTTTACGCCAAGAGAAACCAGAAGAGACCAGAGAGAAGACCAAGAGAGCGACCAGAAGAGAGAGACCAGAGAGAGACCAGAGAGAGACCAGAGAGAGGCCTGAGAGAGGCAGAGAGAGCCAGAGAGGAGAGGCCAGAGAGAGACCAGAGAGAGACCAGAGAGAGACCAGAGAGTGAGACCAGAGAGAGAGAACCAGGAGAGAGACCAAGAGAGACCAAGAGGAGAGGCCAGAGAGAGAGGCCAGAGCGAGACCAGAGAGAGGACCAGAGAGAGACCAGGAGAAGAGACCAGAGAGAGAGGCCAAGAGACCAGAGAGAGACCAAGAGAGCCAGAGAGAGAGACCATAGAGACACCAGAGAGACGATCAGAGAGAGAGCCAGAGAGACCAGAAGAGAGACACAGAGAGAGACCCGAGAGACCAGAGAGAGAGACAGAGAGACACCAGGAGAGACACCAAAGAGAGACCAAGAGGAGAGACCAGGAGAGAGACCAAGAGAGACCAGAGAGAGACCAGAGAAGACCAGAGAGAGAGACCAGAGAAGAGCGACGAGAGAGACCAAGAGAAGACCAGAGAAGACCAGAGAGAGACCAGAGAGAGACCAGAAAGAACAGAGAGAGACCAGAAGAGAGACCAGAGAGAGACCAACGTGTCTGGTTTGATTTTCTGATCCGTGTCGACGAATCGCCAACTTGGTAAAGTCCATTGACGAGGCTAAAAACCAAGAATAGAATTGTTGGTGATTGAAAAACAGTTTAAACCTTAGTTATTAGAAATCTGTAAAGCTGCTGAACCTAAAGTTTTGTTGTCGAGACTTATGATTTTTGCGCGATTGAAAAAGTGTGAGAAATGTGTTTATTGTGGATAAATCCGACGGCCTCTCCCCAGTCATTGGCTTGACGGTATCCAACAGGCCCTGTAGTCACTATTTGACCCATTGGGCTCCGACAGATATAAGTAAATAGATTTTAACATGAGCTTTGAAATTGAAGACCCCAGCTCTAATCTCGCACCCACATGTTAATGCTATAGACCCACGTGGGAACTCTGTGGAGCAAGGGACTGGCCTCCTTCTGTGACTCTGAGGAGCACAGGGACTGGCCCTCCTGCTGGGACTCTGAGAGCACAGGGACTGGCCTCCTGCTGGACCTCTGAGGAGCACAGGGACTGGCCTCCAGCTACGACTGAGGACACAGGGACTGGCCTCCTGCTGGGACTGAGGACACAGGGTACGCCACCTGCTAAGACTCTGAGGAGCACAGGGACTGGCCTCCTGCTAAGACTCTGCAGGAGCACAGGGACTGGCCTCCTGCTGGACTCTGAGGAGCACAGGGACTGGCCTCCTGCTAAGACTAGAGGAGCTCAGGGACAGGCCTCCTGCGGGACTCGATGAGCCCAAGGGACTGGGCATCCTTGCTGTGACTGAGGGCCACAGTGACTGGTCTCCATGCTGGACTGAGGAGCACAGGGACTTGGTCGCCTGCTGGGAACTCTGAGGACACAGGGACTGGCCTCCCTGCTAAGACTTCT